TCTGGTCTCATGTGTATGACGTTTGAATGCTGAAGTTCGCTATCGCTCATCCTCCTTACATTCGCCTCCCTTCTCCTTTATAACGAAGCATATCCAGAACAATCGTCGACGGTAATCACAAGACTTGAAAGACTAGGTATAATTCGTCTATTTTGTACATGACTTCAGTCTTATGCGTGTATAATATTGTATATTGAGATACAAATATCGATTACATGAACGTGCAATGGTAATCTCTCCCTCTATTCTTACTGTATTTTGGAATAATCGAATGTCAATTGCCTAAATGCAGTGGTAATGCAATGCTTCTTCCTTGAAATGATGGATGACGGAATGTCTCTTTTTACTGATCAATTAAATCAAAGTCTCAAATCCTCATCCTGAAGTAGAAAGCAGCAAAATACTCTTCGCCCCTTCTACTTTACGACGAAGCATATCGATAACCATCGCCGACGGTAATTGCGGGACTTGTGATAATAGATATGTTCAATGATTGTGTAACGATTTGTTCAATGATTCGTCTATTCCATGTATGACATATTTTTAGATAATGAAACATATGTTTTATAATGTATTGACTCCTCAAGCCCAAAATAGTATGATTATGTGCGATTATTATCTACACCACTCTATACTTCTCAATGAGGCAAAGCGATAGATATTATAGACACGATAGATTCATAGCATTATCAACTTAATGCTTTATCTGTATACAATTTCTTTAGAGAACAAGACTTCAATTCTGAATGATCAGATATCGGCCCGACCCCTTAGTGTAAAGTACCAGTCGATTACGTGTGAAATGTCATTCGCACCCTTCTATACATTATGTTGAGACAAATCGAGAGCTAGTATAGATTCATAACAGCCTACTCTTACATAATTAGATACCAGGTTAATAGTCTAAAAAAGTGCATACTAGGCAATATCTTTTTTTTCGAATAACAGGGCAGTTTCTCTTTTTGCATCGTCAGATATGAGTCTTCAATCCGCAGCCTAAAGTAGCAGTTGATTAAATGCGAATATCATCCATAAATATATCTCTCCCTACTTTAAGTTGGGGCACATCGAGAACTATTATGGACATCATAGATTTGGTAAATTATTTTAATACAATTAGATACCGATGCGAGGATCACGGTCCTCGGTAGGCCTATGGGGCCCTGTCTGCGGCCTTACCCGCCCTAAGTGAAGGCGGAGGTGCCCGCCCTAAGTGAAGGCGGGCCTGGCTTTTTGCAAAAGGCCTTCGACTGTCAATTTCATATTTGGGGTTCAGGCAATTGCGACGCGCCAGTTGGTTGAAAGAAACACAGGCCGAGCAACCCAGGCATTTCCACGGCCCTCCGGGCTTTTCCAAAGAATACAGGCCCTGGGCGTGAATCGCAGCCTCATACAGAGACAGTTGGGCGCCCAACTGAACAAGGCCCAGCAGCCCAGTAGCTGATGCATCCAAGCAGCCTCCCGGGGCCTTCCGGAAGCTTCTGGGCCCAGGCCAGCCCATTCAGGCTGCGAAAGCAGCCAGCTCTTTCCATAAAGGAAAGAGCTCTGGTCAGGCCAGAGCATTCATGCACTCGCATGCTGGGCGGCAGCGCTGCTGGAGCTTATGCTCGTAGGCTGCTGCTAGCGCTGAGAGGCGAGGTGCAGCACGTGCGGTCGTGCAGAGGAGGAGGGCGCTGCTGAGGGCAGCGCCATAGCCCAGCCACCATAGCTGGTGGGCTTGGACTACAGTGAAGCGCARGGGTGGTCTTCGGGTGACAGAGAGGACAGGTGTGGGTGAAGTCAGGGGATAGGTGAAGGATGATGATGATGATGGTGATGTAAGGGCACGTACCTTGTATTGGCGATGGTCTGCATGGGCGGCATCTTCAAGTACTTCGGGCTGCTGCTGATGTCAACAGTTGCATTGTCTTTTTGTARTCTGTAGTAGCTGTGTAGGAATAGGCTGGGCGCTGAGCGCCAAGTGTGAGTGTAAGGGAACTGGACTCTTTTGTTGAGAGGAGAGAGTGAGCTCTCCACGGACATTGGTTTTCAGTGCTAGGAAACTCCATTGGTGTATTATTGGTGCAATGCTGCTATCTGTACACGGTGTGACTATTTGGCCTGCAATGTGATGGTGTGATCTGGGATTGTCATCTCGCTGTTGCTTATTTTCCTTGCAATTTGGTATCGGAGCTGGTTCATATTGCGCTTCATTGGTTCTTCGCAATAGCTATTGGTGCTTCGCATGAGGTGTGGGGCAGTGATACGGTGTAAGGAAACCCAGGGAGGGGTCCTACAGTCCGCTGAAGCCAAGGGCAACGGCGGGCAACGGCGCCTGTCACTCGCCGCGCCCGCTTCCGAGGTCCTCAGCGACCTGCAGGGTGCCTTTCTAGTGCTCTGCCCGTCACACGCCCGCTTTTTTTTTTTAGGGGCTTCGAAAGGTCTTTCCTTGCAACGAAATTAATATTGTTTCCTAAATATGCTCATATGCCCATTTAAAGAGTCCACTTGTCTCTTTTCTTTCCCGAGCCGCCTCGCCGCCCTGCAACAGAGTGCTGCCTTTCCGAGTTCACAGTAGGGGTGGCGAGATGGTTGAGAAGGGGGCTTAATTTTAATCAAAGTAGATCACTGGCATTTCAATCATCACGGGGGAAAAACTCAAACGAAAGATTTAAGAGTCATATTCCCCCGTCACTTTGCAAAGTCCCTTGATCCCCCACTTAATTTCAACCCGGCCGGGATATTAAAACGGTTTTCACCTTTTAGCAGTAGCGGATGCAGTACCCAGGGTTCGATCCCTAGACCTCACCCTACCCATGTACAGTATCTGTGTAAACCCCGGGAATTGAACCTGTGACCTGTGTATTCGTAGGCAGTTGGTAGGCCTGTCGTAGGTCCATAGGCAGCAGGGGTTCGATCTGTAGGYCTATAGCGTAGGAGTCTTAGTGAGTTCCGGAAGCTTAGCTGTAGACCTTCTAGAAGGTAGGCAAGTGGGCAAGTGGTCAAGTGGTGAGGCAAGTGGTGGGCTAAACCGCAGTGCAACAGCAGTACAACGTCGGTAGGATAGCGGTGAGTCCACAGTCAGTCAGCAGAAGGTCCAGTCAGTCCCAGTCCGGTCCAGCAAGTACCACAGGGGGACTGTGAGCACCAAGGGCCGATGGCAAAGGGCAGACCAACGAGTTTCTGAAGATTAAATCAAGAGGCAACGCCCAGGCATTCATTCATTCCTGCGTGAGCCATGCGGAAGCGCTGCCACAGCGACTTGTGCAAGGAGGTCTGCAGATGAGCCCGGAGGACGCAGTGGGC